CACTGAAGCAGAAGAATTATTCAACAAAATGAGGAGATGTCCATTAAGCTGAAGGACAACGTAGTCTATAGAAGGTTTAGATGGATTTTCAACTAATTGCCTTTTTAAAAAAAATAAGTTGTGTAGTTTCAGGGGAAGGCCATGACCCACATCCAAATAAACACAGACAGGTACAAATCTTGACTGAAATCTTGTACTGCTAAGGGTTTTGAAGCAGTCTAGTGATTTTCACACACTTCTAAGGTTCCCCAAGCTATCTTGTGAGCTAGAATCTTGGAATTGTCACTTTTTCTACTGCCCACACACACCAGACATACTGTAGGACTTAAAGGAGCTTTTCAGTATCTGCCGTTTTTCAGCTGATTGTTCTGTTAGGCATCCACACATGCACACACACATATAGATTCCTGGCTAGCATATACTGTATGATAGCTTCCACACCCTGACCCTAATCTTCATATAATCAACAGCCACACAATGCAATTTAATACAGATAAACAAACTTACAACAGAGCACTGGTAATAATTTCTCTAGGAGTATGATTTCATTGCTTAGACAGTGCATAGAAATACTCTACGTACAAAATAAAACATTACAAAAAGACAGGATAGAAAATGACATACAGAAATGTGGCAATTTGTTATGAAAGAAAGTGGGAGAAAAAGACAGAAACACTCTTTACTGTTTTGGGCAGTATGGTTTATCCTGTTGGTGTAGCCCAGTAAGAAAGTTCTATAACTGCCATGTTTTAAACACATTTCCAGACGAATTACAATATTCATTTTTAATTTTTTATAAATTTTCTAATTTATAAGCGTACGGATGTGAAATCAACTCCAAGCCTTGACCAATCAACTTTGGAGGTGTTATCTCACATGCTGTAAGGAGAGATCTGGTCTCCTGACGTGGCTGTAAGTTATATGGACCAATTGGTCCCGATGGCTGGATCAGAACTAGGATTCCTGGGATCACTTTCATCTTACAATATTTTATTTTGATTTTATTAGAGATGAACATCATCCTTCTGATCTTAAGAAAGTGTTTGGCTGTTTCCAGACAGTGTGTAGTTTCTGTGTATGAAGACTTCATCTGTTCTGCTGCTTTTGCACTCGCACGGTCTGTAGGATTCTTTGGAGGACTTTTGAAGTGATAGTCTGACTAAGGTTATCTATACTACAAACCTACAAGTTGTGTTAGAATTGTGTTGCATGTTAGGTGCTAATTCAGCTCTGCAGTCTTGCTGAGCCCTCAGCATCCTCACTTACAATGCAGAACTTCTGGTCCTGTGTTGTACATTAGAGCTGTGCCTTCTGGATGGACTGCCAAAGAGAATTTGGGGATTGGTTGCATAAAAGGAGGAGTTTGAGGGAGCAAGGAATGAGGTAAGTGAAAAGTGCTTTTACTGGTACCATAGGCAAAAAGGAGAGTTTAAGGCTTGCAGTGCAGGGGGAGCCCCACTACAAGGGTAGTTTTTTTTATTTCTCAGAAGTTTAGCATTAAGATTCACACCAGCAACCATGCTGAACACGTGAAGGAAATAGTGCCAATGTGCAGACCCTGACGCATCCTGCAATTTACCTTTTTTTTTTTTTTTTAACTTTTTTGAGGTATCACAAGTAATATTTTATTCAGTTGTATTGGCCACAGTGGAAGGCAATGTCCTACCACGCTGTGGCAAAAAAAAAAATACTGCATGCAGTACTTTTTTCAGTGCACCACTGCAAGACAGTGGTGTGAAATAATGTCATACGGAGCAAGGCTTTCTTGTCTTGCATTGGCTCAATGCATCAGGCATGAGCAAGATCTTAAAATGACTATAAAATACTGTATAAACAACTTTTTTTTGTACTGTGTACATACTTTTTTGTTTACAGTGTCCCCATGACTTTAACACATGTGTATGTCCATTCTTCCTCAGTATGCTACAGCTCCAAAAAAAATACACTGAAGATTACTTTAATAGTTATTTATATACTGTATTATTTTATTATAATTTTTAAATAATATACAAAAAATATTAATAAAAACCTGGCTTTCTTTACTATGGTCATTATCACCAAATCATATTTGTTTAACCACTTTGCAAATTCCCCCATTCTATTCAATCTTCTGTCGACCTAAGGCCAGTGGACAGAGACTGCCATGTTAACAAACATCATTGGGTGCTAGATAAAGTCCCTTTTTGCACTATTGTGGGGCTTCAAATAATTTATTCAACTGCAATAGTTGCAATTAGTTTACTATAAAGTAGTAACCCTATTCAAATAGGGAATTGCCATTCTTCCTGAAAATCCTCTTTAAGTATGAGTATGACTAAAAAAACAACTTCTAACTATACTGTTTTATTTAGTTTGGTGGATACAGTAGTAAGGCATATGTAATGCATATATATGCAACATATACCATGCGTTTGCCATAAGTTCACATTGCCTTGCAATGACAAACAAAAGAAAAGCACAATGTGATGTCAGACTGACCTGTCAGTTTGTTAAATATTAAAAGTCAGCAGCTACAAATATTGTAGCTGCTGACTTTATAGAAACAGATACTAACCAGCTCATGAAGTCCAGCATTGTTCTCACCACAGCTAATTTTTCATTGGGCTTCATCTCTGTTTGCTATCTTTGATTTGGGTTTGCTATCTGTTTGCTATCTTTTGCTATCTTTGATTTGGGAGCCGGCTGTGAGTTCCTGATGTCTCACTTATAGCAAGTCCCCACTGCGCATGCATCAGTCATGGCAGTTCAGTAAGACTGATCCTTCAGCATTCTTGGACCTGTGACGTGTCCAGGAGACTGTGTGTGTGTGTATGTGTGGGAAGGGGGGGTCAAAATTATGTCTTTCACCTAGGTAAGGATTGAATAAGTGGGAGCAGTTGCCTGTCAAAAAAAGTACCCTATTCCGGAGAAAAAAAACGTCAAATGTGTTAGAGCAGTGGATCCCAGCCACTGGGCTGTGGCCCACTGTTGAGTAATGGCCACCCTCCTCCCAGACCTTCAGCCAGCTGCAGATCCCCTAACCTACCACAGTGCCTCCCAACTCCCATAGAGCATCCAACCTCCTATAATTGCCCACAGTACCTCTCAATTCTTCTTAGTGCCAGTAAGACCTCAGCCCCCACAGTGTTCCCCAACCTCCCACAGTGCTACGCAACCTCTCACAATGCCCCCAGCCTACTGTAAAGCCTTCACCCCTTAGTGCCCTCAACCTCCAATAGTGTCTTCCAATGTCCCACAAAGCCTCCTAGCCTCTTCAGTGCTCTACAGTCTTCCATAGTTCCCCTGCAAATCCCCCAGCCTCCTGGAGAAACCTTAGCCTCTCCAGAAATCTAATTGTCTGCAAATTCCCCCTTCACCCTCCAGGACTTCCATCCATTGAGCAACACCTAGCCTAATCCAGAGCCCTCCATCATTTCAATACATTTTTTACATTCCTGTACAGGTATTATGTGGGTACAAATGTGTTTACTGTAGGGGCATAGAAGGTTTTGGAAGAAGTTACCAGGCTCTGGTCTCAATAAGGTTGGAAGCCTCTGTGTGAAAGGCTAATGGAAGGAAGATGTCCATTTTAACAGGTCCCAAAAGCCCATAAACACTAGCCTTATGTGCATCTATATAAAGACTGCATCCAGTGACAAAGTTTATTCAGAATGCCTTAGGAAATCATTTCAACAGTGCTAAAGGGAATTGTGCCCTTCCTTGTGTATGCCCTCATAACATGCAGTACAAATAGCTTTGTGCTAAACCCAGTTACAATAGAAGACAAAGACATTTATTTCCCCGGCATCAGCACTTTTAGAATTTCAAAATTGAGGAAGGGTTATGCCAGTTGTCAAAGCTGGACATGGTTTTGAAGCCAAGGATTACAGCCAGGAGAATGTAAACAGCGAGGCATTGCAGATGGTGAGGGAGTAAATAGTTGGAGAGATTCGGAGAAAGGAAACCCCCAGTTTTCACTTGATGAAAAAATGATTCATCATATGTAATGGGCATTAAAGTATTTTTTAAAAAATCCTAACTAAACAACATTTGGTTTGCTGGGACGTTGTGTATCATTTTCAATTGCCATTTTTTTTTTTTCATAAAGTAGTTCTTTTCACTTTTTCCAGCCTGTTTCCAGCCACTTGTCTACAAGCATGCATTTCAGCAATTCATTAGAGGACCATGTCCCTGCAATGTGTGTTAAAACAGACAATTGTAGGCTCCATCAGATGCTTGTGTGGAAACAGGAGCACAATTGGGAAACAAGAACACAGCAATGTATTGCTATAAAATAAAATGCTTGAACCTAGAACTTTCATGACTGGATCACCAGGTATTTCTTCAATGAAAACTGAGGATTTAAAATATTGAAAACGTCATGTAAAAGGTTTTATGAGCTTTTAAAGTATGTTAAAGGGTATTAAAGAACAAAAATTAATATATTTCAGCTTATTGGCCCACAGATATGGTAGCTGCATTTGTTTTCTTTGTTCAGGCTTTTTTCTCTTATTGTCATCTGGTGATTTGGCCAGTGAGACACTTCCTGTCCTAGGGTGACACAACACTCACTGTACTGTATCTATGGAGGGCCAACATTGTCGATCTAGGCTGCTCTTTTGACAAGAAGTACAAACACTTTACCCTCTCCTCCAAACCCTTAACATAGTAGGGAGGTGTTCTGTAGATTGTTTGAGATTTCAGTCCTGTGTACTGGAAATTACAAGGACATTGGCTTTCTGGCCTCTGTGCAGAAGTTCCTGTAATAAAGACTGCTTACCACTGCTATCTGTCCTTGTGCAGGTTGACTGGTCTTGCATCTGCACCCCCCAGCCCATAGTTTTCTGCAGACAGCTTGTAGTGGGAGGACCTCTTGGGCCCCTCCCACAGCTCCTCCCTCTATACATGCTAGGTGCAACACAGCAATGATGTCACTGCCACTGTTACATGATAATACTTGGGTTTACTAAATAATCTGGTGCACAAAACTGATTTATTTGGCTATTAAGGGATTTGTTCTTGGCAGGGGTGGACTGACCATTTGGAAACTCGGGCACTGCCCGAGGGCCCGGGGTCAGTAGGGGGCCCCTTGAGATGCCCCTGGTACCTTTTTCATAGGCTTTTTTGAGTTTGGGTAAGGACACAGGGGCCCCATGATCCCCTATTGCCCGGGGGCCCCATGAGTTGTCAGTCCGCCCCTGGTTCTTGGTGTTCAGCTTTAACATCTCCTGTCTAAAAAAACACTACAGCCTGAAAAAGCGAATAGTAAAAAAAAATTAGAGCAAGGCTTACCTTTCCTATCCTCGCTGCCTGCTGCAAAATGATAGGGACGCATTAGAATCTGTAATTTTACTGTGCAAGATTTAATGTCGTGATACGCACTGTCAATAATTAACTGATTATAATTGTTTACTGAGTCTTTCTTATCTTTTTATCCTCATTAGGATTACAGAAAACAGATTATGTGGCACTTAAAAGATTAGTAAAACAACCATGTTTAAGTAGTAAATGTGGATTTGGATGAAAGTCTGATTTTACATGCTGCATCAACCTTTGCTATAATATAATGAAAACATTGCATCCCAGGTAGTAAACACAGCTGCTTTTCATAAACGCTGAAAAGTGTGTAGAGAACATGCTGCTATGCTGAGCACAATATGCGACTCTTAGTAAAAATATGCTATCCTTATAACTAAATATTTTCCTTTACATTAGCCAAACATTTGTACCACATGCCATGATAGCAGGGTCATAATATGTGTTATGGGAACCCAAAGAAATATATCTGAAGGCAATGTCTCTAGTGATAAAGGGACATTATCGTTTCGAAAAAACACATAGACCTGTCTTCAGTTACCTGAGGAAGCTTCCAAAACCTTGTCATTATGGTCGAATCCAAGGCCAAACTTAAACTAGTCATACATTAGTAGATTTCATACCAAAGTTTTTATGAATATTCATGGCAAGATTATCAGTACATTAAATAACTTGATGAAATGTTTGAAAGTACTTCAAAATTTTGTTTGCTTTTGTAGCAAGTAAATTACCGGTAGTAAACCGCCCAGTAATGCTATTACTAGTCTGCAGCTGGAAGGAGCTGTAATGATTTATAGTGTGAATTCAGGAGACTAACAACAAACAAGCTAATATTAAACTCAGAATGAGCAAGTGAGCACATGTGTTTTCTCTTCTCCTCTTGATACAGATTAGTCACACTTGGTTTATGCTCAGTTTAGTGTTTTGCTCAGTTTATCTTTGTTCAGTTTAGTGTTTATAATGACATTCACTTTCTCTGTTTAGTATCATATATGTTAGTAATTGTAACCCTCTAACACAAATTTATATGCTTCTTCATGTGGCCTGCGCTGTCACTATAAATAAAGTAATTAGTCTGATTAATTTCTGTTTGACATATTCAGATCAGAATAAGCAAGTGAGCAAGTATTTTCTGTTCTCCTCTTGATACAGATACTGCAGGCTGCATCTTTGTTTTACCTCACACTCAGATCACTGATAATCTTGTAACACTTTTAACATTCGACTTTGGAAGAAGTGGTCATTACTGAACAAAAACACATTCAAAATTTGTTAATTTGAGGAAAATGGTCCATCCTGCTCCTTTGAATTTTCTTATCACTGCGGTCCAAAACATTTTTGACTGAACTTCTGCTAGTGTATGGTCAGATTTAGGCTACATGCGCATATTGAGGCATAAAAACACACCTAGCATAAAAAATCCTGGTGTTTTTGTGTGCCTGGGGTACTGTGTGTGGTACATACAGCTGGCCATAAAACTGAATGGCTATATGTGGCTGTGCTCGAGTAAAGTGCATCGACATAAACATTTGCGAATTATGCATTTCTCTAAATGCAGAACTTCCACATTTGTGGAAATACATCATACACATGTGCATGTGTTTACCTGAGTACTGCAACGTACATCCATCCACTTCTATAGCCAGCTGTATGCACCATAGCCTGCTATTGTTTAACACTTATTCCAGAATAATCCCTTTTATTTGTATCCCCTTTTTCCATAATATAATATTTTTTAAAAACATCACTAAAATCTGTTAAAACCCTCTTTGCTTTCTTTAGTATTTATAGATGTTGGTGTAAATTAAAGCCTAAATTTAGTTAAATTTAAAACAAACCAAAAAACAAAATCAGCACACGGGATGTACTGTTACATCATGTGAAGTGTCCATTGTGTTGCTGGCTGGTTTCTTAGTTGAAATCTGAAGTTCTCTGCTCCCCATACCCCTGACCCCTGCAGCCGTAATCCTCCAGTGCTGAAGAGATTATTACAGTCGCTGGACTTGTTACAGCCACTTGCTAAAAGTGCTGTCATGCCTGCACTTTCCACCATCCTCCTTTATTCATAGAGGCTGTGGAGAATGGGCGGATGGATAAGGCCTCATGCAGCTATGGGAACATTTAACATATTCCTATAGCTGCAGCCACGCCCGCCGTCACCCCTCTGACAGATAGAATGGGGAGAGGTTTCACCTGTACTATCTGTCAGATTTGAAAACAGTGCGGACTTCTGTGAATGAATGAACTGCAAGTCCTGACAGCCGTAGCAGCCCTAGGCTTGTAGTTTTCAGTGAACTACCATGGCACTGTGGAGCGTCGTGGTACTTCATTGAAGCTTCCTGTTAGAATATCTGCTTGGCCGTACATCCTATACTACAAGCAGATATTCTGACAGGTCTGCAGGAGACCTGCATGGTATCAGCGATCTACTGATCACTGGTTCAATGCTTTCCAGGCTCCTGTGGACAAAAATAATAAATGCACATTTCTTTTATTTTTTTTGATCAAAAGGTAAACTTATCCTTTAACAACTCACCTAAACTGCGTTTTTTCAATCCAGTGTAGCAGAGTTTAGCAGCATTTGGACATTTATTTATTTTATAGTCTAGAGTTTTAATTTATTCTAGCTTTTGAAATGAATAAACGCTGAAGTGCTAAATGTAGCTAGCGTTTAGGCGCGTTTAGATGTGTTTAGCAACGTCAACTGTTTTTTCTGGCAGAACTCTGCTGCTCCTGGACGCACTGGCAGTGTTTTTTTTCCCTGTCTCTAAACTCTCCTGCCCCTTAAAGCTGCTAAAAGCCTTTGTGTGCATGGACAAAGGCTAACATGCAGGGGAGTTTAGAGTCAGGAAAAAACAAACGTCAGATGCCCCTAGGAGCAGCTGTAAAAACGTCCATTGTGCATGAGGCCTAAAAGGTCCACCTCCTCTATTCATAGATTTGTTGTCGATGATGGAAGCTATAGTACAGCTTCTACTAGTGGAGGGGGCAGAATGGATGGGCATAGTTGGCACGCTGGACAAATGACTATGAAAGGTCCAGTTAATCATATTAACCCCTGTAATATTAGAAGATTACCACTTTGGGGGTAGCGGGGAGGCAGAGGACTTCGAATTTCAACTAAGAGACCAACCAGCAGCATAAATGAACACTTCATATTGAATAAGTATTGTCCATTATGTTGATTGTTTTTTTTGTTTTTTTAAATAAACTTAGGCTTTAACATTCTTTCGATAATATGATCCCATTTTAATGTTTGTGTATTTGCAGCCTGCAATGGTCACATGACTACTATTATCTTACCGCTGCCAATAGTAGCTTTCAGCTGGCACGCTGTAGCCCCATGCACCTGCTCTAAGATTTAAATATAGACAGCACATCTCACACTCGTTGAAATAGCAGCTGCATACTTTTCTGGCTCTATCATTTAAGTATACAGCGGAATACTTTTTATACAGTTAAATATTGCAATGTGCATGCAAATTTACGTTAAGCAAATGTACTTAAAGGGTTAATCAAATCAAAGGTGGTATTCCAGTTAAAGATGGAGCCTTGTGTGCTTAAAGTGATTCTGAAGATAAAGTTATACTTACCTGCTCTGTGCAATAGTTTTACACAGACCAGTCCTCAACCTTCTCTTCTACGGTCCATAGACACACACAGTGTGGCTCACCCCCCCGCCCCCGCTCCCTCCTCACTGGCTATGATTGACATCAGTGGGAGCCAATTGGCTCATGTTGATGTCTCTGAGCCAATGAAGAGAGAGAGAGAGATTTGAGAAAGCCGCTGATCTCTTTCACATCGCTGGATAGAGATCAAGTTCAGGTAAGTATGGAGAGAGGAGTGAGCATTGAAGATTTATTACCTTCATGCTTCTACAACCACTGTAACTGAAACCAGTCGTAAGAAAAAAAAACAGAGACTGCCATGTTTGATCTTTTGAAAATGCTAGTTGCCTGGCTGTATCTGATTTCAATGCATTCTTAATTAGTGACTCCTAGCAGGCATAAACTGGATCTAACTCTAGCTTTCTCTGTAGCTGCACTGTTCTTTATTAGTTATACCGCATGTTCTGTATAAATCCCACAGAAGGCCAGCAGGAAATGGAATCCTTTGTATTTCCCTTATCAGAGATTTCCTTCATTATATATATTGCGTGGCACTTTACAGAGCACATAGAACCATTTATATCAGTCCCTGTTACCACACAGGGCTGGATCTAGTGCAGTGCTGGGGTGGGCTTTACCCTCCCCAGATTTCAGTGGTGCCCCACTAGGGACAGTGACATTGGTGCCACGTTGGTATGGCAACACAGTGCTCTGCCCTACCCACTGCACCACATCATTTGTTTCTATGGTGCGGAGGGTTATGTGGACCAGGACCATCATTTGTTGCTATTTTTGAAGTGGGGGCTCTGTTGTGATGGGGGGACTCTGTTGGGATGGGGAAGACACTCTGTTGTGATGGGGGGGACCCTATTGCGATAGAGGACTCTGTTGTGATGGGGGGGACTCCAATGGGAAGATGGGATTCTAATAGGACAGAGGCGACTCTGATTGGAAGGATGTGATGTAAATGGAGGAGTGTGAAGTAAAGGGGGCTGACTCAGAAGTAATGGGTGGAAACTGATGTGAATGGGGAACGCTGATGTGAAGGGGGAGCTCCCCATATGGCACAGGAGTGGACAACATTATCATCTAGTGCAGATGTCAGTGTGCTTCGGACCAATAAACACAGTTCAAGACTGGGGTGTCTCAGGATTTTGCATACTTTTTTAAGGGCGCCATGAATACAAAAAAGGTTGAGAAACGC